AGAAGACGACAAACATCCCCTCCCAAAAAAAATCAGAAATCCAAAATCCTAGCCAGGTTCGCATTGTGTTTTCCGTATGTAGAACCTCACATCGTTTGTTGTTAGCAATTTCCGTTTGCAGTTGGTTTAATTTCGTTTGTTGTTTGAAGAATTACGTTTGATGTTGAGATTCGATTCCTCTGGTTTACAATTTGCAAGGTATGTTTTAAGTTATATTTTACAAACATTTTGTTTAATATTTTTGTTGTTTGCAAATTGTTTTATAAACAATTTTTTGGTTGATGTTTTTAATGATGCTGATTTTTTTATTTTTTTTCAGTTTGCTGTTTGCGTTTGGCCAAGTCATAGGTAGTTTATTGTTTGCAATTCAATAGTGCAAGTTTTGCTGAATATTTTTCTTCAGTTTGCATTTGGCGAAGTCATAGGTAATTTTTTGTTTGTAATTTAGTAATACAAATTATGAATTTTGTTTTTTCAGTTTGCTGTTTGCATTTGGCGAAATCATAGGTATTTTGTTGTTTGCAATTCAATAATATAAAATCTAATTTTCAGTTTGTTATTTGCAGTTCGCGGAGTCATGGACGTCGCAGTTTCCGGATCGTAGGCGGTGGTGGGGCTGCGGTGACGTTTTTAGAGTATGAGTTTGTAAAATAAATTGTATATTTTTGTTATGAATTAATTTATTTGTTTTAGTTAATATTAGGAAGAGAGATGTTTGAGAATTTGTTATGATAGAGAGATTTTTGAGGATTTGGTTTGATTTAATTAAGGGTATTTTTGCCATAATAAATATTATTAATTTATTAAAACATTAAATTTTGACTTGGATTTACACACATAAATTATAACATAAATGGACCTATAGCAAATTGCCCCTTAATTTATAAATAGATATATATCAACGATTCTTACTTGTTTCTAGGATTCCTCTAATCAGGGCCCCCTAATTATTAAATTTGTAATGTATTAGTTATTTACTTTTATATATATTCACTTGTTTTAGTATTACTTCATGCAAATTATCCTTAAAAAAATCGAGGGCGCTGCCCCCGAACCCCCATAAACTTTAACCCTACTATATCACAAATTTTTAGGCTTGCCACTGACTATGTACCTTACAAAATCGAGTTAAAATAGAGTTTATTACCTTTTATAAAAAAAAATAAGTTTTATTGTAGATTGTAAAAGGGGTCCCATTTTTTATCCGTCTTCAAGTCTCGCCTAGGGCCCCCAAAATCTCAGGAACGACCCTGGATGTGAAGCATCTCAAAGTTATATGCGAGTCTCACTTATGGAGGAGCATTTCTCTCTCCCGATTTGCAGAGATTCTCTCACTAGCCGTGAAATATAACGCATCTCATATGAAATTGGAACGTGCACAATGGTCTTGCTCTTGAGAAATATATATAAAGATGCGAAACCGGCATCGCGAAAGGCGGCAGTTTTTCCGCCGAGGTAAAATAGAATCGACCGTCTGTGGCCGCCCAAGAGAAAATCTTCACCCATAATTGCCTTGTTTGCACCAATTCCTTTGTGGACCGAGTAATAATTCTTCACCACCAACAACTCAGAATAAATAGTTTCTCCCTTTCCTTTCCTATTTCTATACACTCTATAGAAGAAATAGATAGGGGAAATTGTAGTTTTTGTCCTCTATGTTGGTCTATTTACGGATTTAGTCCTCTAACTTATCACGTTTCGATTTTACATGCAAATCTAGCATTTTTAGTCCTATTTTGCATAATTTTTAGTTTTATGGCACGACAAATAA